ATTTATTTCCTTAACCTGGATTCTTTCTGTCTAAAAATGAAGCTTGTGAAACCCATGTTCTCAGGGAGTATAACCACCAAACATCCATGCATAACTAACATATGTTATGCAGATAAATACATCCCAAATATGGTAGCTGCTCTCTTTTGAGATAACCAAAATATCAGGCAGAACTCTAAAATGTATTGATACAGTATAAAAAAATCTTCAAAGTAAAATTCATCTTGAAATTATATTTTATACTTACAACCCTTAAACTCTGTAGAGCTTAACAGGAACATTTTCTTAAATTTAACACATATGCATTTTGTCAACCCTGGTGTCTGGAGAGCACAGATTGTTGGATTTATTTATATTTATGAATACCACTGACCTGAATCATCTTATAATGTGTTTTTTTCACATATACATTCATCTGCTGAATCAGAGTGTAAACAATGAAAGATACAAAGTTTTCCTTGATTTCCTTCCATTTGTTTTTAGTACTCTAACATGAAAATACTAGATAATCAAAACTCTTATTTAGGTTCAGTAGATGCTTTTGTCTTGTTTCATGGCACGAGAAGCAGATTTATATATACTTTAGATCATCTGTGGTATTTCAGGTACTCATATTCATAGAAAGAAGAAGAATTCTTTAGAGGGTTGCAATGTCATATTTCACTCATTTTACTTTGTAATTTGCTTTCATTTCAGCAGCCTGGTTTAGTGATTGGCGGCCCTGCATATGGCGGGGGGGTTGAAACTAGATGATCACTATGGTCCTTTTCAACCCAGGCCATTCTATGATTCTATGATTTTAAATGTATATACTTAAAGAGTTTAAGATGATTCTGATTTCCAGTCAGATTTAAAAAGAAAAAAACAATCAACTCCAACATTTTGGCTACTGCATGGATTACATAGCCATAGCATTTGAAAAAAGTGCTATTCAAGTTGTTTGTTAAGGTACATATGGAAAAACACTAGAATATTCTAAGACAGATAATGTCAGTGATTCATTAAAATGTAAATTATCAAACAAAATGGTGCCATTGCTACTAACCTTAAAGTATTAACTAGGACCACTAAAAATATAATGTATACATAAATTCCTCTCCAATTTTATTCTGCTTCTTGTAATGTTGCTTGAGCGTTCGCCCCGCTCTGATCATGTAACTCCCAGCAGATCTGTTTTGTGGCTCATTTCCTCACAAGAAAAATTAGATCAGAAGATATAAAATTATTATTCCACATATGTGAAAATAAGAGCTGTATTAATAAATTGTGATTTTATACCTCATTCCCTGTGACAGAAATTCCAGACACATAAACTGTAAAAGCAGGAAGAGATGTAAAGGAGTGAAACATACTGTTTGATTCTTTATACCTAGTGACTGTAAAAACTTGCTTCCAGGACTGTGGCAAAAGGCCAAGGTCTAGGTGGCAAAAACAAATTGGATAAATGGGGATTTCGTATTAGTTAGATTGGGGATTTCGTATTGGATAGATTGATAAACCTTATAAACAAAAGACACTACAGCCTTGCTTTCTTCTTATGAGAGAAAGAACACAATCCAGAAGTGTTCTGGATACTTCCACAATACACTTGCAGGATTGTATATAACATATGTGTAATATCACCTATAAAACAGCTGTGGACTGATTTGCATGTGTAAATTATTAACCTTCTTGTCATCCTTTTTTCCCTGGCCATACTTTCTTTTATAAAAACGCAAATGAACATTTAATCATGAACCTGCTCTGACATTTCTGATACACTGCCCTCACTTCTTTACAAAATGACATCTCACTTTGTAGCTAAACGATACAGCTAAATGATACTGGGATGAAGAAAGCTGAGTATTTCTGTGGCTAGGTAATAGAACAAAAATTTTATTACATTTTTAAAACTAAGTCATACTATTTGCACTAGTCATCACTTCTCCCATCACTTCTGCCCCCCACCCTGCCTGGTTCTTAGATATTTTAAAATGCATTGGGCATTTAAAAGAAAGATAACCTACCTACTTAGTCTGATTTTACTTGCATTCCCATTTGAATGGAGCTGAGTAATTTCTTCTTTATACCAATAAACAGATGGATCAGCAAGACGCACTTTGAATGCATGGACCAAACAGCCTGCTTTCATACCTCATTGCTTACAGTGGTTTTAAACCAAGAGAAAAATTTACCCAATATATATACAAAAAGTCAGAGTTCTTAGTGTTGTTTCAGGTATATACCATAGTCAAAGTGAATTGCTTTACTTTCTATTTGGGGGAAAGGGGTTTGTTAAGAACCAACTTGACTGTACACAAGTTAAAGTTTATGAAAATGACAATAGATTAAAAAAGTATTTGAGAGTGGCTAAAAAATCCAGCAAATTAAGCTAAAGCCGTGTTATGTGAACTACAGAGCACTTAAAAGCTGTAGACACCTTTCTATAGGCTCTATCATGTGAGAAATCTCATAAGGATTCTTGTGTATTTATAAAATTTTTGAAGTACAACAAAATGGTGCTTTGTTGAAGTAGTTCATATCTACTTAAAACTGGATTTCTAAAACTGTGCAGGTGTGACTGATTTTGACAAATAGAACTGTAAATACAGATTAAAAAAAAAGGAAAGAGATAGTTACTATGTGCAGTGTTAACATATGAAATGGTAAAATGAGGTTGGATTGCAGTGCAAAGAGTCTCTCAAAGATTAGATAAAACCCAGAAGAAGAACAAAATACAAAGCAAGCATGCAAAAGATCTGGAACGCTGCAGATTCACAGACAGCTGGACATGTAAGTACAAAAAACCCCAATCTGTAAATACAAATAGATTCCATCAGGTTTACTATACAGTACTTTAGAAGTAACAGACAGTTGAAAACAGCCTTCATTTAACAGAAAAATTAATTTTAGAGGGAAGAAAATGGTGAAGTCTCATCCTGGAGAACAGCAAGAGAGGTATTATATTAAGGAGCTAAAATTTTCTTTGGCATGGTAAAAGGGGAGAACTGAGTGCCAACCTATTTACAGGAAGTTTCACCATCCTGTGGCCAGTGCAGTGATGTTTTGCACAGTCTACTTCTTACATAAACTTTTTTGTTGTTTTCCACTATGCCTTCATATAAATGTTTTATTAATAATGTTGAATCTATGTATACAACAAATCAGAATAAACACAAACTGTACAGTGCAGACAAACTCTTTGCATATGTGTATGTAAATTTAGTAATACAGACCAACAGTTCTTTGATAGACACAACCTACTACATGCAGTTCAGTCTTGCCATCCTCTTCCCATGCAACAGGTGAGATGAGACAAAATTGAAGGGAGGAAACAAAGCACAAAGACCCCTTTGTATGTTTAAACAGATTGTAGAAAAAATATTTTTAAGGACAACTATTCAGTCAATTAAACACACATATGGATTTAGCCCACAGAAACAAAACAAGAAAATAATAAATAAGAATGCTGTATTTCCAGTATGTAATAACTGCTTACAAAAAATAAATCTGACCTTAATTATAGCCCCCCAAACTAGTTCACAGATCATAATTACTCAGGATCAAAAGTCTAATGTTGAAAACAATACTTGTGTAGCATCAGGCCATGAATCAGAACCTCCTTGCATGGCTCAGCCCTGTCTCTCCCCAGGCTCTTACACTGGGAGAGTAAAAAGATGTCTGCATGTGACATGAACACATGTATTCCCTCCTCATGAACTCTTATGAAATGCAGGTGAGAAAGACAATGTAGCCTTCAGCTGTATTATCTTACTCAAAATATTGGGAAGTGGTCCTCTTATAATTGTAGGGAAGCCTGGGGCCTCCTCCGGGACCCAACAGATAAATACAACATCAAGGCTGCTGCCTCATGTGGGTCCTCCAGATGCAGAGCAAGCACCCAGCTCACCATGTGAGTTGCTTTGGTTTTGTTTTGTTTTCTCAGGGATGGTGCACAAATCCCACTGGGCTGGATGGGATGAGAGGGGTTCACTGAAGTTTTTTAATAAAGTATTTTTTCCCACACACACATATTTCATGCTAGCAGGCAAGGGCACAGTCTAAGTCAAAGTCTTTGCATTTTTATCACAGTATTAGAGTAGGTTTGTATTTTTTTTCCCCTATGTTGATAGTGGGTTTCATGCTTAATTCATTCCCTCCCTAGAAAGACCCAACACCAAGTGTTAGCTTGCTGTTCTCATATTATGTATATAAACAAGGAAGTCTGGCCTACAAAAAAAAAAAGTTTATCTAGATTTTAGCAGCTTTACAGTAGCCTCCTTGAAGAGTGCACTATATGTTGCTTATAAAAAGAGAACACATCTGAAAAACAGCACAGAGTTCATTCAGACTGAATCAGTCATTCAGCTGAGCAGACAGGCAGTCTGAAATAACCAGCAGTGTCTGTTAGGGACTTCAGCACAAATAAGTGATAAAACAAATTGCCAGAAATACAATGCTAAAAAAGGAACAGATGATTTCCTGTTCTTGTCTTTAAATATCAAGGTAACAGCAAGAGGCCAATAGAGTGTTGCCACACAGTTTTCCAGACTGAAGTACAGTTTGGTCCTTGTCACCCTTTCTGAGAAACAAATAACTTTCTTAAGCACACAGAGAGTACCCGTATTTTTAGTCCTCTGAAAGCCTATAACTAAGCGTGCAAGACTTCCATGGCACCTCTCTGGCACTCTCTAAATCTTCCCTCCCCCCGCCCCCAACAGTTTTTTCATTGTTCACAAGTGACAAACTCAAAGTGTTGATTGTGTTTCTGGTAATAGGATCCAAGGCTTCAATTTTATGATATTTCTGATTTCTTCTAGGTTCATGTAGGAGAAAGTACAGTATACAGAGATCAAGGCAAGGCACCTTCAATCTAGCAACTGGGTGGGCGTATTATCCTAGGAAGCTGGGTGGAGGTACGTACTGAGATATCAGTGAGATACATAGGACCGGACTTTGCATGCTTGGCAGAAAATAAAAATAAAGTTTTGTAATATGTCCAGTTTTAAAACTTTATTTTAAAACACTAGAAATAATAAACTATAATTTGTAACTACCCTTTGCATTGGTGCTGCAAAAAAGAACACAACAACATCCTTGCCCATGCTTTGCTAAGTAGGTGTGAGATTCAGCCAAAAGTAACAATGGCATTAAGTTCAGTTCCTTAAAAACAGGAAAGGATTGTATTTGAAATGAATTTAGGTAGCGCAATTCTGGTTAGTTGTATTTTTTTTTTTAATTGGTGGTGGTTGTTTTTTCAAACAATGAAGATTTAGTAGATGAAAAATGAGCCTTAATTCAGGCCTACAAGGCCTACAAAATTCTTTGGACCCACTTTCCCAAAAATGAGTGGGTCTTGCTCGCTGGGCAAGGCAAATGTTACCATTACCAGTAAGCCTGTGATATGTATAAAACACACACACAAAAAGAAACTATAGGGGGATGCCAAACACTCATTTCAGAAAACCTCCTGTTGGTTGTGTTTGACACTCTTCCCTCCACTATAATGCCAACCTCAGAAGCACAGTATCTGTTACTAAAGAGTATTTAATCAATATTGTAAGCCAGAGACAACAATCCTATTCTTTATAGATATAATTTGTAATTATAGATTTTTGAAGGCTTCCTGATTCCCTGATTGCTTTCAAAACTAAGCCACCGGCAACACTTAAGTTATAGAGAAACACAATCCCTGCAAAAGGTCACAGACAGTGGAGCAAGCAGCCTTATAAAAAGGGGAGGAAGAGAAATCCATAATAGCACAGGTTTACAGCATCTAACTAGAAATTACTTGATTATTTGTGTGCTACAAAATAGAACTTAAACACATGGATTTTGCTGAAACTGGACTCAAAAAGGGATTATGGGCAACTGTCAGCAGGCAAGGTATCAAGTGTACTTGTGAAGTATGTCATTCACATGAAGTGTCACAGTCACAGAAAAGATATTAAAAAGGCATTCCAATATCTGGTAGGGCATTCCATGGTCTGAGTTTAGCTGGTTCATCCAGGTGTCTTCTTGTTGTGGGTGGAGCTACACGTTGAGATTTATCCGCTTGCAACAACTCAGTTCAGAAACAGCAACGAGCAAGCCTGTGACCTGCCGCAAGCTGATCCACAGACACTGCAGAGGGGAAGTCTGGCAAGGATAAATCGCTCAACTGTACTCGGGACTCAGTAAGTCACAACACCTGTGAGGATCTGGCTATGTTGTCTTACTCTTGTTAACTGGTTTGCCGCCATTCATTATTGCAGATGCACTTGTGCTTTTACTTGGAGTCACCCCAGCCTTTGGCACTGTTTCTCCAATATCATGCAAAGATGGTTCTCGGTACATGGCAACTGAGGGGAGAAAGGAGAAAAGGAGAGACATTTTTAAGAATGTATCTCATTTAAGAGCTTATCTCAAAGACGATTAATTTTTTACAATAACTGATACTGTACTATAATCCATGTTCCTCTTGCATGTGAGGGAAACTTTACTTCAACAGACAGTAGTTTTGCATGTCTGATAGCTTTGCAAATTTCTCACTTCTTCCATATCTGACTCAAAAACACAGTAGGAAACTATGCTTGCTTGTTTAGTGGAAACTATAGAAGCCTCGGAAATGAAAAACTACTGTTCTGTCTTTGCATGAGGCAGACACAGAAAAATGTAAATATACACACAAACATATGCATGTATCTGCAAGTTTTTAGAAGTAAAATATGATAAGACAGCTGGTATTTAACAAATGAGATCATACCATACAGTTGTCTAGACTTAAGTGTTCTTTTTCAGTCCTATATTGCAAGACTAGGCTCAGGTCCAGTTCTACAAAGTTATTTGTACATCTGTCTCCCAAATCTGAGGAGTTTGGCCTTGATCTCTTCAGGTGTGTACTGAAGAAATGTCCAAGATAGTGCTGCGGAGAGCACACAACATGTTTGGGTTTTTTTCTTTTCCAAAAAGCGTATGCAGTAGCCACTGATCTCCACTGAACACAGAAGTGCAGAAAACTCAAAATTAAACTATTAACTGAATTCTCAGAGGAATTGAAAGTTTGCCCGTGGGCTTCAGTCCCTATCTAACCACTTCAAATCCTTTGAGGAAAGTACATGTGTTCAATTACACAGTTCCAGCTGCCTTAATGATTAATGCTTTTGGATAATTCAATTTCATTTTCCATGTCAGTGAATCAGGTAATATTTCCACTTATACCTAGCTTCAGTAGCATTTATTTATATCAGAACAACGTTAAAAGAGTTGTCAAAGCAGTCAAAGGAATTAATCATCACACTATGATTTCGGGGCTTGCTGTGTGCTGCCATAGAGAGCACAATCCCTTCATCCCTTGGCTAATTAGAGTAGGAGGCAGGAGCATCAAAGTACTGACCTTGATCTTCAGTGGTGTGAAGTTTCATAATAAATTTGAAGGGCCCCATAGAATCATTAACTAATCAAATACTTGTTCTAACATTTCCAATGACATAATCTAAATCCTTTTATGGCTCTGAAAGTCTGAAATTAAACATCTTCTCTAGAGTACATAAGGCTGGTTATGATCTATGTCTTCAGAGTGGCCCCACAACTGTGTTTAGGACAGTGTAATTAATTAAAAGACCTTGATGAAACAACTGTGACCTACAAAAATATTAAGTCGAATAACATGAGATGGAACTATAAAGTAAGAGCTGTCATATTTGATGACTCATAGGCAATATAAAGCAAGTTATTTCTAAGTTTTGTCTAAACTATTCTGAGAGTCTGACCATCCAAACATTAATGAAAAAGTCACTTCTCTCCTAATCTATATGAATTGACATTGCTTCTAAAAATGCACTGGCTTTCCCTCCCTACAACTCCTATAATTTAATATAAAGGGATTTACATATAAAGTGTCAATATTCTTGAGAGGTCATGAAAATACTGTAAGCTATTGCAAGACCAAGAAAGCACAAAGGCATCAACCTGAATGCAAATATGAAGTTTAAACATTGGATTATTCAGATTCTTTCCTTATGATGAAACTCTAAGACATTTAACAAACTGATCCTTTAATCTAAATTTTTAAGTTAAAATGTTAAAAGAAACGGGACTGCTAACTAAAGCATTACTCAGGTATGTGTTTTCAGATGTTAAGTAATGAGATAATTTTCAGAATGACTGAGGCTATGTGTAGCAATAATATCAAAGAAATTTGGAGTGTCATCAGGACAAGAAGCAAAAAGCAGAATAGGTCTATAAAGGCCTACAGAATACATAGGATAACCCAAAAGTTCCAAGATATAAATGAATGCATTTTTTCAGAGAATATTTGACATCCTTTTAGTATGTAAGGTTAGTATGACTTTTTTTGCTTCTATATTGGTTTAAAGGCCAATTTATGCAAGTTATGTGCGTTGCATCAACTGGCTAAGTAATAGAGTATGATTTATTTTATAGAGAACTTTGTGCTTTGTATTAGAAAGCATTTACTTTGAAATGCTGACATTTCATCCATTCCCTTTATAACTCCCAATTATCCTACAATATCCATTATTTCATTCTGCTTAATGAAAGGACTATTTTCTCGCTGCAAGACTCACTATAGCTTTTGTCCCTACTGAGAGAATATTTCAGAAACAGCATAATGCACTTCCACAAAAGATTTATTTTCTTGCAAAATGACCTCTTAATCCCCAGAAAAAAATGTTTTTACAGATGCCCTTTCTAGCATCACTATGCTGAAGCACAAAACCGCTCCATGAATCCTGGGGACTGTCACTTGGAATGGCTCCTGTGCAGGGTATGCACATTCACAAAGGGTATTTTAGAAACCGTTCCCTCTTCTTCTTGTGAGATTTATAGGAGGATTTGTCAGCAATGGACTGAACCTCACCTTCCAATGGCTTGGGTAGAAAATGAGCTGCTGGTTTTGTTTTCTTCACTCTGTTTCCTTTCATGATCTGCCCTTCTTTGTTCAGCCCCAAGAACCAGGCCCTCCCGGACTCCTGTTGTCTGTAGAGCATGGATGAGTAGATTACATAATAATTTTCAAAAACAGACTCTTTGAATTTGCACTCCGGTGTAAAAAGTTCCTGTGGGAGGAAAAGTAAATGTTAAATAATATCTCTAAAGTGCAGCTTCTGTTTTGTTAAGTTACAAATACCTCTTGATAAATTTAATATACAACTTATAATAAGGTTGTGCTTTGAGACCAGGAGATCTCTCTTCTGCTAGAAGACCTCCAGGTGAAGTCATTTCCCCTCACATGGATGCCACTGTTTTCCCATCTGTGCAACAGGGACAGTATATTTTCAAAGTAGAGAGGAAGTGACACAGGCATAAAAACACAATTTAAAATACACGCATAATTATTATTGTGCTTATTTTTCTGATAGGATATCCTTGTAAAGATTAAGAAAGTCTATGATAAAATAGTATTAATGAAGAAACAGTTGTTCCATTTTAACATACTAAATGCAACAAAATCCCTCTATGGTTTATAACTACTAATATCTGATGCTTAAAAAATACTGCTACCAACATATTAAAATATATATAATTTTCTAAGTCCTCATGGCCTGAAACACCACAAGAAAATGCTATTTTATTGTACAAATTTCTGTACCAAGAAAAATATTTTTGCTGTCATCCTCAGCATTTATCCCAAAACTGGATTGATTTTCAAAAGTCATGTTCAGTAACAGAGCAGTTGTCCTAGACTCTTTACTAAGGTCAACCTAAGCACAAATTTCTGTAGCACACTAGCCAAATAACAATTTAGATTTTTTTTTTTACTAGCACAAGTAACAGTAACAAAATAAACCGCGTGAACATATATTGAGACAGGGTTTACCAAAATCCTGTGAAAAAAAAAAAAACAACAAGTTATTAAGCAAATAAAATTACATTTTAAATATCACAAGAAAATAGGATTCTGTGTGACTGTGATTTTTTATCTTTGGATCCATCTGCTGAAACCTGTGGAAGATATAAGACATAAAAGGAAGAGGTAGATGTGGAAAAGTGGAAGGCAGCTTGCTAAGCTTTCAGAGCACTAAGTTCTCAGCCCTGATTCCTCTTTTTTTGTATTTCTTTCAGTTATCTTTCCCAAGAAGTAAGTGTCTGGAACCATCATATATTTTCGCTTCTCCATTCACGGTATTATTCATTTTTATTTTTTCCTCTCATTGAGTTAACACTCAGCAGGTAATGTGTTTTCAGGGTCTCTATGCCATCCCCAGTTGCCTATATAATGTAAGACTTTCACAGCTGTTTCTGTCTTAGATTTCCTTTCTGGAAATCAAAGTCCTTATAGACACAGTTCACCCTTATCAGCAAGCACAGATAAAGTGCTTTTCTGAGTCTGCACTAAATGTTACTTAGTGCAAAACCAAGTTCTCCTAATGTTATGGGGTACACAGTATCTGTATTGCCATGGCTTAACTTACCACCTGTAAGCAAAGCTGTCTTGGCAGACACCAGACATACTATTAGGTTTCTCCATTAGGGAGCAACTTTTAACCTCAAATAAAAAGAATTAGTGTATTTCATCCATCAACAGACTAAAAGCAGCTACTGCGGCAGCTGGGAAATTATTTGTGAACCTGCCCTAAAATAGGTTGTTTTGCCTGTGTGAGCAAGTACACCTAGTGTTTATAGGTCACACTCATTTGCACGATGCAAAAAATAATCTCTGGTGTCTGCAATGACCATGTTTTTGCACTACCACTTCTTTAACACCTGTGCACAGCTGTATTTATTATACACACATGCAGAAAAGCAAATACAGGCTGTACTAGAGGCATCCATAGCAAATGTCAGGAAATACCTCAACTGCACCTTCTCCTTTGCCACAGGGCTTTTTCTCTTTCTGCTCCAAGACTTTAGGATGTCTGTTGTTTATGTTACTCTCCTTTCTCCTCCACTGATTTCAAATCACAGCAGGGCTCAAGGAGACTCAAAATAAAACCAGAAGGCAGGGTGGCATGCTAGAGGGAATGCCTGTTAAAGCCTAGCACAAGCATTTACATGCGAGTGATGTTCCTCAGCTATTGAAACAGCAGATGCTAATCAGGAAAAGCCTACACAGCTCTCCTCATTACCTGCTTCACTGCAAATGCTACCCTCTGTGTTCCCCACTAAGTTTTACTTCCTTGTAAAGCTCAATTACCATAAACACTACTTCTTAGCCAATAGTCGCTTCTTTTGCTATAAATAAAAGCTGCTTGTCATTCCGTGCTCTTCTGTACTAGAGATGGTTGGATGCCCATAAATGCTATTTGTGTGTTTTCCCAAACAATATCCATCAGGATACTGAAACAAGATTCCTTCAAATGATATCCTATCTCTGAATCAAAACTGGCTCTTTCTCATTTCTTTCACAGATACAGTAGCATTTCTGACAGAGCACAGAATATGAAGCGATAGGTATTTATTTTACCAAGTCAAAATAATGGATTATGTCAACACAATTACTTGGCTGCTCCTGGATGCAGACTGGTAGACTAGACACACTAGCATCATGGCATCATAACTATTTCTTAGCTATGAAAAAGCATAGTAATAGTCTGCTTTTTTTTTTTTTTTTTTTTTGGCATACAAGGAAGAGCCAAACCTCAATACTGTGTTCTGCCCAAAAGTACTGCAGCTCTTACTCCAGATTTCTGGGTAGTGTAACAGCTTTGGACAGGGTTTCCATCCATCCAGTATATTAGGATGCAATTCTGCCTGGTGTAAGCTCTCAGTCAAAAAGTCACTTAAATATATGTCACATTAAAGCAGGCTAATAGTTCCACTGATGAGGAGAGTATTCACAAATTAAAATTAGTCACCTGATTGATGACTATTCTGAACTACAGCCACCAGTTCCTCTGAGGAAAGAATTATTCAGAAAGGGACTTCTGAAATGGGCACCTTCCCTGGGGCTCAGGTGGAAACTGAGTACTTCTAAGTTAAGAGTAACATCTAAAGCCTTGCCTCAGACACGATCTCAACTGACCGAAAAGCTGTGAGCACCTACATTTTCTCCAGTAAAGTAGCTGTGACACCTAAAATGCTGTTTCTGCATGTACCTAGGACAAATCTAGATCTGTATACCTAAGACTCAACCCAGTAAGAACTCTCAGAAAATGACTAATGTGCTAACAGCACTGACTTAAAAAAATCATCCACAACTGACCTTACTCAAGCCCATTGCTGGAGGGAAAGGCGATACAATGGCATTTTATAAGAGAAGCTCAGTGGTGAGGGCACTCCCCTAGGCTACCTGCCTATCTGTACACAACCTGAAGAAATACAAATCTGCATCTGGCTGACATGAATCATTTAGATCTTCCCTGCAAGAATGACTTTTTGGGTTTTGATCCCAGGACAGTCCTTATATTTTGTTTTAGGAAGTGAATGAATAAATTGCAAAACCAGACATGCAAACAAGAACTTGTGCTCAGGATTTCTCCTCCAAGACCAGTGCCCAAAGTTAACCCGTAGTCTTATATAAAAGGTGGTTTGGTCCTGTCAAAGCAACATTTGAAAAATAAAGTATATACCAGCTGCCAATTTCCAAAACCCCAGAAGTGGGTTTTGGCTGTAAACTGCAATCTGATACAGCTTCCTAGGTTCTAGAGAAGTGAGGGATGTATTAAATTGCACCTTGCTGAGAAGTATTTTCACTTGGATATTTTTGCCAGCTTCCCATCAAGACTTTGCTTGATATGAGTTCTATTTGGAGATGTTTTAATTCTCCTGGTTGCTGTAGCATTAGTAAGTATCACAACACACAGGCTGTGGGTGCAAACTCTTGGAATCACAAAGTTCTCTCACTGGGCAGTTCTTAGTTTTGGGGTACTCACCAGCGTTGCTAAAGCTCAGCATTGTAGTATTACATCGTAAGAGTGGAGCCTTACCTCATGGAGTCACATGGTGGTGTCAGAATCTGCTTTCATTTAAGAACAAAACACCAAAAAAAAAAAAAAAAGCCATTATCCACCTCTCAAACTTAAGAGAGTTTGAATGAAGGAGCTCAGGAGCTCAGGTTACCTGTGTTGTCAACATGGATTGTTGGAAATCAATCCAGATGACAACTGAGATTAATTCCCTACCAAGTAACATCTTTCTCTCAGGCTGCAGTCTGACATCAGAAGGACCTTGAGAGGCTTGAGAGGTGGGCCCATGCAAACTACACGAAGTTCAACAAGGGCAAGTGCAAGGTCCTGCACGTGGGTCTAGGCAATCCCAAGCACAAATACAGGCTGGGTGGAGAATGGCTTGAGAGCAGCCCTGAGGAGAAGGACTTTGGGGTGTTGGTTGATACTCAACACCAACCCAAAGAGATTGCCAGCAAGGGACAGCCAGTCTAATGAAGCACTGTAAAAAAAAACCCCTGATATTGTTTATTATTTGCACTGTAAGTCCAGGTCATGGAACAGGACCTCAGTGCTTTGGAAGTACAGACCCAGTGGAGTCTGTCTGATGTGAACAACTTTCAATCCAAACAGAGCTTTACACAGGGTATTAAAAAAAGCCCAAAACATCAGAGCAATTATATCAGCATGCTAATTGTTGGTTATCGAACATTTCTTGTAGGAATGATGATGAAGGATTTTTAAGGAGAGATTGGAGAAAGGCCAAAACTATCTCTGTGGAGGCTTATGGGACACGTCTGCAAAGTGAGAAAAGCAGTACAGAGTCAGCACAAAGGTATTTTGGGGGTTAGAAGCTAGCAATACAGGAATTAAAGAAGGAAGTGACATTTTAATAGTAGATAGAAAGGTTGAAAATTACTCATGAAGAAGGGCCTTAAAATTGAAAAGATGCAGTCTGTGTTTAACGAGGAGAAGGCATTCAAAAGATAAGAAAAATAGAGTCAAAATAATGAAGAAGTGAAATGAACTTTGTGGCAGACTTCTGAACGGAGATTGTGGGGGTGGTACTGTATTTCTCAGTGCAGGAGGGAAGGATGCTGGAGTAACCATGGTGCAAAATGATAAGATCCCAAAAAACAGCTGCAGTGCTGTAGAAGGGCAAAAGGGCACATCACAGACATATTTACACAGCAAGACCTGTAAGATCTGGAGGCTTTGTCTGTGCACGAGAA